ACTTACATTGCATATCACTAAAAGCCTTGGTAAAGATTTTTAGCTGGTTACCCTTGCAGGGGTCCTGAAAACTCTGTGTTCTTGGAGTAGAACCTGATTCTGATGGTCCTGGTTTTTTTTTTGTTTTTTTTTCTCATCAGCAATTTATCTTTTTAACTTCAGCAATTACTCTAAGCATTCACCTTCAATGAAGATTTGTCCTCAAACTCCCACATAAACTTTCTTCCTACTTTGCATAGAAATACAGTAGCATGAGGTATCATTTTCTTAAATTTAATGCATGTTCCTCATAAATCCCTCTAGATCCACAACACACAGCTCCTTCAAGTCTTGGAAAATGTGGAGGCTTCTGCTACTCAAAGTTAATCCTTCACCAGGGTCCTTGATTTTGTACCTTCCCATCTCCTGAGATATTTTGCCTTAGCAGTTTAACAGTATTTTCTTTGATTTCCTAGCCCTCGGTGTATAAATTGTCTAAATTATCTTCTATCTTAAAAAATGCCCTTGATTTTTCTTTTGGTCTACTAGCATCTGATTTATCTCTTGCCTTGCCATCTCACCCACTTTTCCCCTAAAAATTGGTCTCCACCTGCCAATTCTATTTATATTTTAGTCTCATTTTGCCCTCTACAGTCTGGCTTCTGCCTGGGCCCAACCCATTAAAACTGCTCTTGTTGAGATCTTGGAGGGCCACTTAAGAAAATGTCAAATGCCATAGATGTCTAGTCTCTGCCTTAGTCATAGATATCATATAGATGTCATAGTCTCTGTCTTCCAGAATTTCTCTGCTGCATTTAATACAACTGCTTGTTTGCTCCTGCCTGAAACGCTCTGTTCTCTTAGGTTTGGGATGCCATGGCCTCCTCTACCCCCTTGCTTGTCTTTTCACCTCTCATGGGTGGAGATGCCATCCATGCCACTTCCTCAGGTTGGTATGCCACAGAGTTCCAACCTTGTTCAACTCCTTTCCTTTGTCTAACATTTCTTCTGGAAAATATCATGGTTTGGGTTTAATAACCACTTTTATTCTACTGACTCCCAAATCTTTAACTTTAGTCAAGATTTTCCTGTTGTGTTTCAGATATATCTTTCTAATTTTGTCTGGACGCTTTCACCGCATGTTCCATAGGCATCTCAAAGGTAACAAGACCCAAATTAAACTCATCATCTTCTTCCAATGACCAGCCCATCCTTTTCCTCCTCTGTATCTTTATTTCAGTTGGTAGCACTACCTTCCACATATTCCTCTTGCTCTCAAACATCCTTTCCTGAGTGTGTTTTTGGCTATGGTTTCCTTACTCAATCTGATTCTGTTTGCTTTTTGTCTTTATTAATTTCTCCAATGTTTTTCTTGTTATTATTTCTGGATGACACTTTCTCACTTGCTTATGTGATTGTGCTTTATAAGTAATGTATGTATATCTTTTTCTCTTATGTCAAAGGTTTAGAGGGCTTCCCTGGTGGCGCAGTGGTTGGCAGTCCGCCTGCTGATGCAGGGGACGCGGGTTCGTGCCCCGGTCCGGGAAGATCCCACATGCTGTGGAGCGGCTGGGCCCGTGAGCCATGGCCGCTGAGCCTGCGCGTCCAGAGCCTGTGCTCCGCAACGGGAGAGGCCACAACAGTGAGAGGCCCACGTACCGCAAAAAAAAAAGGTTTTGAGATGGGAGCAGGATGCTGAACACAATATACCCTCTTGAACTGAAACCAGTGGTGTTGTATTTTTGTATAACTGAGTTTTGTGATATAATAAACAAATCCACATTCAACAAATGTTATAAAATAAAGGAATAAATTGTTTGTGCTTGACACATGATATCTCGAATTTTTAAAGTAATTTATAACTATTTTTATTTGGATTGCTAGTTAATATTGTTATAAAAATGGAGGTCCAAAGATTTAGGGATAAGCAGTTGCCAGGTAAGTGCCGCCACAAAAAGTGTTTATGAAATCCATATGTATAGATGGAGAGAGACTGTACAGGGATAATGGTCAAGACTGCATTCATTCACACTAGTGTATTTCCTTGGAAAAGTTAGGAAAACCTGCACATCAGTGAGGTCATATCTTCTGGGCAGTTAGGCTGATGCTCCGCTTGCTAAGTCAGGTTGCATTTTATTTTAAAATTTAAAACACATACACACTTATGTACCTACCCACTCCCTTTTCCCACACGTACGTGCACATATACACACACGTACACACTTACACACACACATACTTACTTAACCACGCCACACTCTCCCTGCTAATATATATCTGGAGGAATGTCCGCAAGGATTCAAACAGTAGATTTATGAATTTGGTGCAATATCACAGCTAGCCAGCCACTGCTGCTGGCACTAGATTGTAATCTTGTACTTCGTTTGCTACCACTCTGTCATATAGAACAGTGAATTGAAGTGATTTTCAAGTGGTGTGGGAGACCAAGGGAAATCTTTTCCAGCTCCAGTAAGCACAGAACGCTATTAATGAGCGTGGCTCCCCTACTGTGCCGTGCACTTAGCCACTTCCTCCTCTCTGTGCTAACAGAAGCTGCGATTATCAAATTCTGAAGCAGTAGTTTGAAAAATGACTTTGCTTTTCAGAATTTGTGGGATATATATATATTTATATATTTTATTTCTGCTTGCCATGGGGAGTTGAATATCTGCTATTGACCTAAAGTTTATAAAGCACTTTGAGCTTCTGGGATATAAGAGATATGATTACAAAGAAAGTAAGAATCCTATAGAAGAGTAAAAAGGGAGTATTGGCCCTATGTTTTTTTATCCCATTCATATGATTTTTATTTTAATAGAAATTCTATGTGAGGAGGGGACCCAAGACTCCATGGGAAGATGGTAGTGGACTTATAAGAAGTCATAAGTAATTTAATAAAAAGAATTCAAAGTGTATGAGAACATGGCTTTTTCATTCAGAGACTTGAGTTTCAATCCTCGCTCCACCCTTTACGATGTGTCAGCCATTATTCTATATGCTTTATAATAATCAACTCAATCCTTAAAACAATTGTATGAGGTGGATACAGTTAATATTCCCACTTTATAGATGAATAAACAGAGGCACAGAGAAGTTAGTCACTTGCTCAAGTCACAAGGTCACACAGCCAGTAAGTGGCAGAGCCAAGACGAACTGAGATAATATATGTTAAGATTCTCATAGTATTAGTAGTGGTAGCCACCATTATTTGAACATTTATTCTTTCCCAGATTGTATTGTGTCTAACCTACATGGTGCATAAGAGCTGAAAAATATTAGTTTTTAAATCTTAGTTCATGAAACATACCACTTATAAACATGTAGTAGGATGTTTTTAAGTAAATATTTTACTTATATTATCTTTTCTTTATAACATGTTTTAATTGATTGATGATTCAGCAGGATAAAAAGTATATCTGAAGCTAACATTTCTCTCCTAATTTGCTCGTGGCAGTCATTTGACCCATTTTTCAGCAGCAATTTAAATGAGTGTCTGTTACATTATTTGCCATTATATTCAGCTCTAGGATATAGTAGATTAAAAAATCCTATCTGAAGCGCCATTAGATAATAAGTCATTTTGATATGTATCTGATAAAAATTAGTTTCTGGATAAACATAATGGAAGGGCATAAGTATATATGCATTTCAAGTACTATAGGTGGTCCTAAAAAATTATCCTAAAGTAATTTAGCACATTTACAGGAGAAATGGATACAAGCTATAAAATAACATTCTGAGAATGGCTACAGAAAAGAACAAATAGTTCACGTCCCTAAACACCTATGAATTTCATTTTGCCTTAAAGAGCATACTTGGTTGAGGGTATGCATTCTGTGAAGAGTACTGCTCGATAATAACTCGACAATTTTGCTGAATTCAGCTTCTGGCATTGAATCTGGACATCAAGTCCAGTCACAGTATAAATATATTATCACTGCTAATATTGAGAGCAGTTGGAAGAAGAGGGCATGGGACCAAGAAAAATAAACGAAAATGAGATCAAGGGAGAGAGATAAGATGCACACAGAACTTGTCCAAATAACACTGAGCAAAAAATGAAGTGAAGAAAGAATGCTTGAGATTGTTTATTCCCATAAAAAAATGAAGAAAAACATATAACACATTTCAAATAGCAAAAGTCCAGTCATTTTATAGGTAAGAAAATTGGCTATGTCTCTGTAGGTAAATGTATATTAAGGAATACAGTGACATGCACATATGTGACCTCTGCTGGACATGCAAAATACTCTAGTGACTTTTCTAATATTTCTGTTTTTTCCAATATCAATGAATATTTTTGTAGCATACATTGGCTTTTTAAATGTTAAAAATATTATAAACACATTTTGAATTATAACTTCATGGTACCTTCTCAGCTGTGTTATTCTGTACCACTATATAAAACAAATGATTTTTGTATATACCATACTTTCAAGGATAAGTCACTTAAAAAGAGTGCTTTAAAAATTTTTGTTCTAAAACAAATCTCAGCCAGAGTTTCATTCTTTCTCTTTTTGTTTTCTAAATAGTCAGCCAACGAACTTAAGAAGGACAAAGCTGATAAAATCCATTTTCTGATATGAACTTGAGTCATTATTGGTAAATATACATCAATTTAAAGGGTCCAGCATTATAGATAATGCATAAAATATCCTACTAAATAGTTAAATGTGATAAAGCAAAATGAAACTCAGTTGCTTCACACAGGCTATGTGAAGCTACTGAATTTCATTTAATCTCTTTCTTTATAACATCATTTGAAAATATGTATATATTAATATGGCAAGTGAATTTATAGGAGAAATCAATTATATTCTCATGTGTATATATTCCCCCCCATCCTCTTAATAACACTCTAATGTATCACAGTATCAGAGAAACACACCCTAGAGAAAATCCTGCTATTCTTCATGGAAAAATCCATGAATAACATTATGCAAAAATTAATTTATGATAAATGTTTTAAATATAGAACTCAGAATAGCTTATTTAAATGCCATCAGAAAAGAACACCTCACCCGTAAAAAGGAGTCTAGGGATCCATTCTCCATATATTCCACCACAATCATTACTGGCCTGCCTGCAAAGAGAGCAAGAGAACACATAAGAATTACAGCAATTACAGAAATATGTGCTGCAGTTAGAGATTTCCAGTTGTGGCAGCTAAATTATTTGTATTTTATTAATAGGAACTTCATTTTCCAACACGCTTCTATAAACACATTAAACATACACATTTCTCCGTTTCTTTATAGCATTATTTCCTTTGAGTTCATAAAAAGAACATGAATTACAATATGAATTACTAAGTAATTAAGCACTTCCTTTTCTAAAGCCCTGCAATCACTTGTTCAGATTATGTTCTTTTTGTCCTGAGTTTTTCCTTAAAAGGCAATCAACAAGCTAAAGTCAGGGTTTAAGCAGTTACTATAGCTGCTTTGGCAGTTGTGGTACGTCTCCTCCAGTGATGCAGTTATTATGGCTGAATTACATTAGACCGGGCATTTCTGAAATACTCCTAAGGCAAAGCAGAAAGGAGAAATTCATGAATTCTCTTTAAGAAATTATAAACCATCAGTCATAGTCTACTTTTAAGGGCTTTTAAGTAGAAAAACGTCAGTAGATTGATGAATGCTACAAAGTTGGTGGGACCTGTAGTAGTTCTTGATCATCTCTTTATTGGACATAGATTAGATCAACAGAACAATGATGGTAGTACATGAAAAATAAGTAACTTCTGATTTCATAGTCTAGTGCAGAAGCTAAAATCAGAAACTGAACATCATTTATTTCTTTTTTATCATATCTATTTGCAATTGTTACAGTTCCCAATACACCTCTATTAGATAGAATATTTGACATAAGTAACTGATTTGTTTCAAAGAAAAGAATCTATTTGTTCTGCTCAATTGCCCGAGTTTAAAAGATAAAGTCTTTTTAGGGAGGGAAAATGATATTTACCTGAAATAAACATGTATGACATATTTACTTTTTACTTCTATATTTCTCGCTTCTCATTGGCATTTTTAGCAATTCAATCTGCACTGTGCACAGAGTTTTTCCTCATGAGCACAAAGAAGATCCGGAAAGAAATTATGTGTACCAGTGACGGAAATATTAGATCTCATATTGTAATTCATGTCCCTTTTATGAACCCAAAGCCTTGAGGGTTACAAAGGGTGACTGGAACAAATTAGTACAATGTCTGCAAATGCTAGATTTTACATTTGAATCTGTATTTTAAAGAAAGATGTGGTAAAGGTTAAATGTAGCAATAAAGTTCCCAATTTATCATGCATAGAATTAGAACCCAAAGAAGTTTTCCATTTTGGCAGATTTCTATAATGTTCCTAAAAGTCATTAATTTCACCCAAATACAGATAAAAAAAAAACTATATCAGAAAATATTGAGGTCAAAGGAACTGTCAGCACTACTGTAGGCAGGGATCTAGAAGATCCGGGTTTTAAATCTGAAAGTTTGTCATGAAATCTTTTATTTGGCCATGGGTTTCAGAGAGCTTGCAGACAGGAGCTTGCTGCAAATGCTTGGTTAGCAAGGTAGGGAAAACTAAAAATTATGAGTCCACTGTTCCAGTTTGAATGATAATGGATTATGGATGTTAAGGGGAAAATTTGGGTTATTACGATGACTGCCCAGGTTCTTTCATAATCACACCTTTTCAATCTATCTTGACCATTGATGTCAGAGAAACAGATCTAGTTTTCTAAAAATATATTTTAAAATAAATAAAAATATATTAAAAAAAAACCCTGACATTCCCTAGGAATACTATTATTATCCCTGTTACACAGATAGAGAAATTGAGGCATAGTAAATTAAACTACTTGCCCCAAATCAAATGGCTACTAAATGGCTACCAAGCAGTCTGTCTCAGAGTTTAAGCTCTTAACCTTTATGCCAAAGGTGCCTCTCAGACATGATTTATAGATCAGAACTGTGCGGCCCATGCCGTTAGGCAATCCTCTCCAGTGATGGACCTCTTCTCTTCTAACTAACCTTATCATCTACTGCTTCATCAACTGTCAGTATCACCTATACTTACTCAATCCTGTCTCCTTCTGCCTTTCCTTTTGGTATTCCCCTGCCAGGATTATCTCGCAACTTGCTTCTTTCCCTAATCACACTCACATCTCCCTAGAATTTATACACTGCACCTCCTCCATGAAAGTCTCCCACAGCCATTTCCTATGGTTGCACTCCCATCACATCTACTGTCTGCATTATGAAATGTGTGCCTGGTTTTGTATTAGGTTGTTTTTTTCCCTCATCTTCCCGCAGATGCTTTGTATCCCCATTCACTGGGTTTCTCAAGGTCATCTCCCATAGAGCTGAGCAGAGTAGGTGCTTCATAGAAACAAGTTGATTTTTCTCATCAGTTTCACAATTCCTAACAGAGTAACACTGAAGTACTTCAGCAAGATTCTAATCTATGTGAATACAAAGTACTTTGAAATTAGTGCTATCTGTACCTCTTTGGGAGATACTTTATACAATCTTAAAATTCATCAGTGACAAGTTTCATCTTCTCATTAAAGATAGTAAAGAGTCAAAGGAAGACTCCCCAGGTTTCTTGTAAATTAAAAGTTTCACACCTGAGCTCTGAGTCTTTTGTATTTTGTTCAGTAGCATCATTTGAAAGCAAGTATTATTAAACTAAGGAGTTATTTTTTTTGGAATATCGCTGGTATCTAACCAGTAATTTGTTTCCTAGTGGTTTTCTACAGGGAAGTTAAGATACACTGTGAAGATTACAAGCTTACAGTCCATGATTACATTTTATAATCAAGAAAGTAGATAGGTATGAGGGAAATTATGAAAGTTAGGGTGATATTCTTCAAATATGTGGTTAGCTGTGAGAAGTCCATTGGTAACAGTGCTTTTTCTGTGTTATTTTTAAATATGTAAAAATTATATATTATACTTTTGCTCTTAGAAAATACATTTGGATGTGATTCTCTTTTTTTTATATTTTCAAAATATTTCAGCTTATTTCCATTTTTACAGTTTTAGCCAGTTACCCTAAGTGCCTCATGTCACAGGATTAGCCTAGTCTTTGCATTGTACCGGAGTCAATGGACAAGCTCCAGGATTCTTAAATGTTAGTCAAGTCTCAAAATCCCCAGATCTTTCTTCGAAGCCTCATCAGTTGAAGAGATCTTCAGAAATACTTTTACAAGTCACACGAAAAGTGAAGTTCTTTGGTTTTCCTTCATGAATAGCCCAGATATTGTTATGGATATTTTAAACTGCATTAGAATCAAGATTCGATAAGAAATCACTTATATTCTGAATGCAATGAATCACAAAATGCCATATCATCTTTTTCTGTTATAGAGAACAATAATTTTCTTTAACTGAGACTTTTATAGACTATTAACAAATGAATCTTTTTCAAATTTGCAGCTTCTCAATACTTACGATGATTTTGATATAGGTATTGAGAAAACAGATAATGATAAGGCTATTCTTGTGTTGTTGTTAAAGGAAACAAAAGAGAGGTATTCTTTAAATGTTCCAGGGAAATTCTGGGGAAAATATTTTGTGAGTGAAACAGTGCCCACCTTTTTTTGGCCTCAGAGAAGACTCTGAAAGGAGATTACAGATTCAACATTTTCACGTAAGTAATGAGTTTGTGCTGGATGTAGTGTTTTGTATCAGTTTGGCAATTTCTAATGTGTAGTCAGTAATATCAAGAACCCAAACAAATCTCAACAACCCCCAAACTCTATCACAGATTTAAATCAATCTAGTTTATTTAATGTTATAACACGTCTATATTTTGTCTAATAGGTAACGAAATTTATGGCAATAATTTGAATTGACAGGTTGCCTGTATTTTCTTCCTCCCAAGTTGTAATTCAGGACTTTTTGAGCCAGTTATTTAATTTATTTCTACTCCCTGTTTCTGCTGTACTGATAGTGAATTATAATTATAATCTCAAATGGATTTCATAATAAATGAAATAGTTTTCTTATCCCTCTAAGGCATTCAAGAGATATGGATGACACAAATTTGAACAAATTTATATATTAAATAATTATTTTTATTCACAAGAAGTAAAATTGGAGGATTGTTTTCCTCTTAACACTGTTGCCTGATGATTATCAGATCATGTCCCAAATGAATCTTATTCTCAGTGAATTCAAATACAAACTTAAAAAGATTTCCCTTGAAACTTCTTTTCCTCCTCTATTTCTGTTTTGGTTAAGACACCACCATCCATCTAATTACCCAGGTATGAAACCCTATTGTAATATTGGATTTCCCACTTAATCAAACCCTTATTAGTCCATAAGTTGTTAAGTGGTGCTGATTCTATACAAAACCTATTATCACTGTCCACATTCTGCCTTTGTTTTCTCTTGACGTATTACAATAATCGTTTACTGGTTGTACCTGTTAATGCTTGTATAATCATTATTTTAAACATTCAGTGATACAGCAGATATACATATTTAAATGCCTACTATGCATCAAGTACTCTTCTGGTTTCTGAAGAAACATCCTCAATCAATACAAGATCCTGCTCTCATGGAGTGTATAGTGGAAAGGGGAATAGAAATAAGTAAACAATTACTATAAAGGACTAATGTCTCATCCCTCCTTTAAAGACTGCTTTACATATTGTATTTTTTTCTTCAGGATTAAGGTCTAAACTACTTGGCAATTACATTCCTTCACAATCTTTCCTCGACCTTTGTTTCCATGTCATCTTTTACAGCCCCAGTTCCCCACCTCCTGTTTTTCAAATTCTCTAGGGGACTCAGAATTCCCTAAGTACGACTTTACTTGGACCTTCCTCTTCTCTTTGGAAGACTGCCTTCTCACTGTCTTCATTTGGTAAAATCATATACTTACAAATAAAAAAAAGAACTTAAATACCATCTCCACGGTCAACTTTCCCGTGAATCACTTTTTGTTTTAGGATGACTCTGATGGTTTACTTTTTCTTCCATTTACATCTTAAACAATTGTATAACACTTATTAGGTATGGCATTGATACTAACTACAAAGGTGTCTGCCTTCTACTCTAAAATGCTGCTGAGGTCAGGACTG